CATTTCCAAGGTCCTTTTCCCCCACACAAGTTCTCACTGGAAAGCAAGTAGCTCCAAGGCTGAAAGAACTAGTTCGTTCCCTTCAATAATTCAGGAGGGCTTCTTTGAAAATAGAAGGTCAACGCAGCAAAAGTTCACCAAACTCCCACTAATTATGGGAGGAAACTTAGGAAACTGCCTTAAACCCAGTCACTTTGCCCATCAAGCTTAAGACTGACTACATCAGTCTTTTGGGGTGGGTGGGTGGGAGGGCATATTTCATTCTCATGACTGCATTTACAAAACAAGTAAGTCCACAATGGACTTATTTATAAAATGATTCTCATGTTGGGACATAGTCAGCCACAGAAAACCCATTTGGATGTTGAAGCTAAAACAAGTTCAAATATCTAAGTGCCTGGCTGAGGAATTCTGGGAGTTGAAGTCCACAAGTCATAAAAGGGCCAAGTTTGAAGACCCCTGCCTTAGGGTATGACATGATGAGCAAAAATCCTCAATACCATGGACAGATCCTAGTTGACTCCAGAAGCCTTGATGAAAGATGGAATATACTATAGCAACATCTCTTCATGACGTTGGTTCAGTGTGACTGAATTCCTTCAGGGTGAGTATGTTGACTCACATATTTTGGGCCTCAAATCTCTGGATCTGGGAGACATGAAAAAGTACCCAGTTCCAGCCTCTCACCTTTATACAGGCTAATTCTTTGATTTTTCTGAGTTGGGTATAATCAGATGACTGAATCACTTCTAATTCTGTAGGGAGAATTTAAGGAAACAGCTGAAATTCAGTGGGTGTTGTAAATGGAGAGTTCTTTCATTCTTACAAAAATTAACAGGAGACTCATTCACATGTTCGCTCGATGTGCTAATTAGAGGCTGCATTCATATCCCCGCCATGGCTATTTTTAATCTTTGATTTATTAAATTAATCCAGTTTTATGGGTGGGAGTTGATGTCCTGAATCCTGAACTAATCCTTGATCTCGGCTTTCCCTAAGACATTTAAGGTGATGACTGAATAAATGGGTTTACAATATAATGAATCATAAATCAAACAAAAGGGCTGGGTTCGTACAGAAAGCCAAACTCCAAACAAACAAACAGACCAGGTTTAACACTAATCAAACTTCACACATTGTTCAATTATGAATGGCTAATCCAGTGATGGCGAACCTTTTAGAGACCAAGTGCCCAAATTGCAACCGAAAACCCACTTATGCATCGTCGGGTGCCGGGTGGGTGTGGCCCATTGGCTGGGTGTGGCCCATTGGGTGGGCGTGGATGTGGTGGTAATGGCAGATTGGGTGGGACTAAAAAGTTCAATCAATCAATTTCAACTTTGCAAGATCTTTTTTTTCCTGCAAGAAGTTGAAATTGAGTGACTGATTGAACCTTTTTTTTTTTTTGCGCACAGCGCCGTCTCTGGCACCCGTGCTATAGGTTCACCACCACTGGGCTAATCTTTGACTAGATTATGTCTGTACCCATACAATAGGCTTCAGCAGCAAGATCTTTGTCTGAAATGGTATAGTTTTTCCTGCCTAAGCAGGGGGTGGACTAGAACAGAGGCCCCCAACTTTTTGGGCACCAGGGACCAGTTACGTGGAGAGAGTTTTTTCTGCAGATTGGAGGGTACATGGTTTGGTGTGCTGCCTGCATCCTGCGGATGGAGCTCCAATTCTGTTATTCTGTAGGATGTAAGATCTCCCAGTAGCCCCAAAGCCCCACCACTACAATTATTTTGGATTCACATCTTTGGCTAGGCAATTCTCACTTAAGCCACCTCCTCAAATCCTGACACTGTGGCATTGCTATAGAGAATGTGCTTCGACTATAATGTACTTATTAAAATTTGAGTTTGCAAACTTAGGGGAAAACATAGTAAAAAACCAGCAGAGTTTTCCATCTGCTTGGCTCAACCTTTCAAAGAGAGAGAGGGGAAAAAAAAAAGAGGCCAACTTGCTACGGTTCTATATAAAAAATATGAGTTGTTAGAAAATAACACCAGGAGTGTGAGAGAGGGAGAGAGACATAATGAAAGAATCAGTCACTTGACATGCCAGTTTATTTGTATAGACACAGCAGATGGCACACTCAGCCTCAGCCAGGGTCTTACAAGACAAGCTTGGGAGGTGGTGGTGCTGGTGGGTTGGGGTACTTCATGTTTGTGGAGGACCATATTTTTTTCCTGGAAGAACTCCAGAGTTTGGGGTGTTGCATATCGTAGGGCAGGAAAGCTAGAGGTGACGAAGGAGGATACTTCCTTCCTAGTTAGATCTATTATTTATTTATTTGTATTTCATGTTTCTGAACGGCTCAACTCCTTCGAAAGGGTGCCTTGGGTGGCGTTCCACGAGACATGAGAATATTAAAAACACAGGTATTCCTTGACCTACAACAGTTTGTTTCGTCTCCTTTCAAAGTTACAACGGCACCGATCAATGTGACTCACGACCGTTTTTCACAGTTAGGACCTTTCCAGCATTGCCATGATCACAGGATCAAAATTCAAATGTTGGGCAGCTGGTTCCTATTTATGACAGTGGCATTGTCCCGGGGTGGGGTGTGTGTCACGTGGTCTCCTTTTGCAACTTTCTGACAAGCAACGTCAATGGGGAAGCTGGAATCCCTTAACAACCGGGTTACTGCAGTGATTCACTTAACGACTGAGGCAAGAAAGGTGGTCAAATGGGGGCAAAATTCACTTAACAAATGATTGACTTAACTGCAGAGATTTTGGGCTCAGTTGTGGTCGTAAGTCAAGGACTACCTGTATAAAAATTAAAATGTGAAAGTTAAATTTTAGCAAAATTTTATATATATATATATATATATATATATATATATATATATATATATATATATATATATATATATATAAATAATAATTTTTTTAGGGAGACAAGAATCATTAAATACTCTTAATAATTAGTTGACAAAAGGGAAGGGAAGGCTCCTGTGGCACCAACGAACCCCAGGACTGCATGTTCCTTGGGGCTCCTCATGCAATGCCATGTTTTAATCCTTTTTTGGAAGGCCAGGAGAGTGAGGGACGGCTTCACCTCTGTGGGGAGGGGGGGCTATTCCATAGGGCAGGGGCAATGGCAGAGAATAATAATAATAATAATGATGATGATGATGATGATGGAAGGGACCTTAGAGGTCATCTGGCTGAGGAATTCTGGGAGTTGAAGTCCATAAGTCATAAAAGGGCCAAGTTTGAAGACCCCTGCCCTATACCATTTCGGACAAATGGCTGTCCAGTCTCTTCTTAAAACCTTCCAGTGTTGGAACATTCACAACTTCTGGAGGCAGGTTGTTCCACTGATTATTGTTCTAACTGTCGGGAAGTTTCTCCTTAGTTCTAGGTTGCTTCTCTCCTTGGTTAGTTTCCATCCGTTGCTTCTTGTTCTGCCTTCAGGCACTTTGGAGAATAGCTTGACTCCCTCTTCTTTGGGGCAACTCCTGAGATATTGGAACACTGCTATCATGGACTTCCTGGACCCCACCAGTCAAGAGTTTTTTTTAACAGACAGGATATGCCTGCCTGACTGGCTGGAAAAGCAGCAACAAAAATGTGGTAGCTTGTTTGCTCCTTGGAGAATCATCTGCATTGCACAAATCCAACTTATATTCAAAAGCTAACACTGCAGGACTCTCCCCATCTGCTCCATAAAGACATCATTAACCTTCCCTTAAACAAATGAAAAAAAATAATAATATGAAGATCAAGGTCATCTTTCAAAATCACTACAGTAATCAGAATGTATTGATTGCAACTTTGCAGCAATGACAGCCTCATATCACTTCTTTGTACTATCCTTAATTAAGGACCTCTGTAATATCACGCTATTCAGAATTTGGGCCCATTTTTGTCAATTCAGATGTAGGACCTCTGGAACCAGTGACTCACATTTATAATTCCAAATTGTTGAGCCCTGCAATGTTGGGATGAAGAGAGAGGTCATTTTCCTACTGTCGAGAATCCATTTCATCCTTGTCCCAAAGATGCTTTTTCTTTTTCTTTTCCTCAATGGTCTGCTTTAATTCTTTAAAATACTGCCGCTCAATAAATATTCAGCCCCTGGACTCCCTTTGTTTTTCCTTGAAGACGTTTCGCTTCTCATCCAAGAAGCTTCTTTGGTTCTGAAGAAGGGTGAAGAATTCAGTCTGTCCAGTTGCCTTTTGAAAAAGCATCTTTGAGACAATCATGCCCTGGATGATTGAGAATCTCCAAAGACAGATACCTATTTCATCCTTGCTCCGACTGCCATCTCTGCACAGAATTTAACTCATCTTAACTTCCCATTCACATTTTCCCAGGCACTTTTTTAAGTACGGGGATGCTCCCTTTTCAACTAATGACCCCCATTATGAATTAAGGAAGTTGAAGGACAGGAGAAGACTGGTCTTAATTTTTTTGTGCACATCTTTGATGAGTAGGAGGGAGAACTTATAAAACTTAAGTTTCATTCTGTGTTGAGGTTGGCAATAATGGAAGGTGACATAGGTCAGCTTGGAACTAGAGTTGAGGTTTGAGGACAAAGGCCCATAGTGGTCTTAAAGTGCCTCTTTATTATGACCAACACAGATTTGGCTGATGGTTAAATCCCTTAGACTGCTGCAGTTATGTCTGGAAAATCTGAATATCTTGGTTCTCGGACAAAGCCCAGAAAGTCAAAAGGAAAATGAATGTATTTGTGAAATGTATAAAGCTTTTTTCTTCTTCTTCAACTGGAAACCTAATGAGTAAATGAGCCACATCTTTAGAATGAAGCTTTGTGGTGACATTTCAACAAACCTCTCTGTGGCTAGCCCCAAAGAGTGTTTCACTCTAGGGAAGATATCAACATCTGTAAAATAGTGCTAGAGAAAGGCTGGAAAGGGGGGGGGGGGGAAACAAGCTACTTGGTGAGAAAGAGGAAAGATTTTGTCATCTTGGTTACTATTTTATTTCTTCTTTTCAGCAGGAAAACATTGCATTGTCAAGCTGACCGCCTTTATTTTTTTGATGCAAACAGAAATACCTTTATTTATTCATTACACAATATTATATATACATCATTGTACATATGAATAAAATATACAGTGTTTGGTATTAGTATTCTTCATGTCAGGAGTTGGAAACCTGTGGATCTTCTGGGTATTTTTTAACCATAGTTCTAGATATCTCAGGGAGACCATTGAGCCCACCCCCCACTCCATGAATTAAGGCCTGGCTTTAGTTTACACAAACGTAAGGGAAGGAAGCAAGCTTATTTGTGGACTCCATAATTTCAGATTCCAGCTGGGAGAAGCTTAATGGACGAATCTTTCATGCATAAAAAGATAACACAGATACCAAAGAAGACATTCAACTCAACACATCAAGATGAAGCTTTTTTTTTTTTAATTAAGGCAGTTAAAGCAGTGTTAATCTGCATACCAGCATTTGAAGTAAACATGAAGGGTGGGAAATTTGGGACAGAATGCAAAGAAATATTCCCCGTGGAGTACTTTGTAAAACAATGGCATTCTTTCAAGAAATTGTGTATCCTCCCTGCCCCACCTCAAACTACAAAGCAGCCAGTGGTTTTGCTCTGAGAATTCTCTGATGTGCATGCAGGTGTATGTGAAAAAAGCATCAATCACCACAGTGCAATTTAATTTAAAGGCACATAGGCACATGAAAAAAATTTAACTAGTCATCAATCCAGCTTCAGGTAGAGGAATGACACCAAGACAGCACATGCACACACATGCGCACATCCCGCCAAATGAACTATCAACCTCAGAAGTTCCAGGCAATATCTCCAAACATGTGGGATGCTGGGAACTAATTCTGAAGCATAGCAGCTTTCCCATTTCTAAACAGAGAGAGCTTTGACTCAATCTGATGAAGGCACCAGAGAATTTTGGGTGAGCTTTTCCATTTGAACCCCAAGTCATGAGCAACTGTGAAAGCAATGAAGATGACTCTGCTCTAACTTCCGATTTTAGATAGAAGAACAGTATGATTGAACAAGAGAGGCACTTTTCACGCTCAATGCTTAACTCACACTTGTTTTAAGAGATGGCTAATTCCTACTTCTGTTTAATATTCTGGAAAGCCTAGTTTAGCTTTGATCATCTGTGGGGTTCACCCCCCCCCTTTGTGTGTGTGTGTGTGTGTGTGTTCAGCATCATAATCCTTCAACTGGAATTTGCAGCAACTCAAGAGTTCTACTATTCCAGGCAGAAAGCTGGAATTTGCTGCGGAAAGATATCAAATGGTTTGCATAAGTGGTCCCAAACTCCCTTTGGATGTACTCATCAACAGGGAAACTTTCAAAATATGCAAATCAGCCTATCACTAACACAATTAGGGATACAAAACACTTTTTTTTTTGGCAGCTATTATCCCGGCAGGAAGTGTTACTGAATGTAACCATGACCCAATGGTTCTGGTTACATTTCAGCATACGAACGCATTCCTAAGTGGTTTACACAGAAGAAAAAAAATACTACGTAAATCAGTTGGATTGTTACACACACACACACACACACACACACACACAGTAGACATCTACACAGCTCCACAGCATTAAGACTGGAAATGCATCACCTTGTTTTTTTCATTCAGCATTTTAATGAGACAGTAAATCCAAAATTAGGCCTGGAGTAAAAGGAAAGTAATTCAATCAGCTTGAAAAGGATCTCTCCCTCCTTCCCCCCCCCCCAGGTCTAGGCTGATTCAGCAGTTTACTCATAATCATTCATTCTGCAAGAAAAGAATTGAGAAGGATGCTTTCTGAAAAGGAAATGGATAAACTTCTCTCCCTCAACATTCAAAGGCTTAAAGCTGGAGTTCCTTTGGGCACAATGCTCAAAGGTTCAAAACTGAAAAAGCTTATTTGGGCTCAATGTTTTCTTTGGCGTCTACACCCTTTGAGGAAAACAAATGTAAATAATACTGCTTCGATGATGCTGGAAGACACAAATCCTCACATTTAACCAAGTTCTCTCTTCAGAATGGCCGGGTAATTTCTTTACAATTTCTTTCTAAAACCCGAACTTTCATTTGCAGTCTACATCAAGGTCCTTGGGCCAATACTGATCATCCATGTAGCAACTGTTATCAGTGTCGCTGTCCAGGATGCTATCTGAAAGGCTTGTGGAGTGATGTGGAGTCAGTAGTTCCTCCCATTGAAACTCTACCAATCTGTAAAGCTCCATAGAAGCTTGAGCATCTTCAACAGATGAATGCCCATGTTTGCCAACCTGAGGGGAAAAAAAAACAAACCCACAGAACATTACAAGTAAATCCTCGTTTACCGACCATTCCAAGTTACAATGGCACTGAGAAAAAAAATAAGGCTTTGGAGCAAAATTAACCTTAGCAATTCATCCGCCCAAACACATCGCTGCTGGATGATAAGAGACGATTTTATATATACCTTTGCTAAACCCCCAAAGGGTGATTGGGCAATCGCAGCACACTACGGGATATTTAAGGATCTCGAGGAATATCCCTTGAACTGCAAAAAAAAAACACCTCACATCAAAATAACAAGGTGCACTTAGCAACTTTCAGATGTAAAGCAGCTGAAGGATGCTAGGGTTTTGCGGCGCAATTCTGCTTTTTAGTGCTCTTGAGGAAATGAAAGATGGTGATGAGTTACCTGGATGTTTTTGTGTAGCAGCTGATCAGCCAGGCTCTTGAGAGACATAGATGGCTTCAGAGTGGAGGCCACTTTCTTCTTCAGCAGAGGACACTGGCTTGTATCGCGCCTCCAGGCTCGGGGGTGAAAATATTTTAAGGCTCGGAAATCATTGTGGAGAGCATGGCCCACAACTATTTTATCCTTCAAAATCTGTATGATCTAGAAAGGTGAAAAAGGTTAATTCGCCACTGCCTTCAGGAAAGGACGATTGTAGGTCACTTGAACAAGCAGACCAAGATCTCTCTCTCTATCATTTTTATCTATTATTTCTATTATATCTATCATTTCTATCGATTTATTATTTCTATCTATTTCTAATCTATCTATCATTTCTATTATATCTATTTCTCTCATCTATCTATATTTTCTATCATATCTATCAATCTATCTTCTATCAATATCTATCCATCCATCCATCTGCTCACCCACTCACATTTTAACTGATTTTTTCCAATTAATCTAGATATTTGAAAATTTGTAGGAACACTTAGGGAATTTTTTTTAAAACCATGTCTAATTTCTGAACTAGCCAGAGTACAGCTGAAATAGCTCCTTCCAACTTTACAGTGCTATGACTGTGGATAAAAGCCTTGTTGCTTGCCTACCATTCTGCATTTTATTGCAGATTCTGGTTGAATTGTTATTATGCATCTCTCAACCTCTCACATTGTATGCATGGAGCCTACCCCTAAATTAATCCCTTTTGCTTACCTCACCCTGTGCAATCCGGAAAGGAATTGCTTTTCTCATGTGCTTCCAGGTGATGCCACTCCAGCGAGTCCTATAATCTACAATTGGATATTCCGGAAGAATGTATTTGTCATAAATCACATCACCATCATAGCTCACCACCGTACAGCGTGCCAACTCGCTCGTCTTTCCAGAAGGACCCGTGCCTACCATTTCACAGTCAATGGCCACACGCTTCACAGATTTCTGAGGTGTCTGACGCAGGAAGGAAGCAGGCCTTTTTTCTGAGATGCTGGGGCGGGCTAGCAGGTTCTGAAGACCTTGGGAAGACGATGGCTGCCTGGCTAGTTCCTCAGAGGAAATGGACACAGCTTCACCAGATGTGGAAGGATTCTCCTGAGTTGTCATCATATCCTTCTGGTGAAACTGGTTACCTCCATTTCCCACGGACATTTCAGAGACCTCTCTGGTCCTAGCAAGGCCTGTCTCCTTTGTTCGGGCTGCTAGGTGTCCACTTTGCTCCACTGCTTTGCGCATCAAGTAGCGCTGGAGCCTCTGGCTTTTCTTTTTTTTCTGAATGCCAGCTTTGTCATCCGAGCAAAGTTGATTGAGATTATGGTTTAGATCCGTTCTGGTATAGGGGCATTTGACAAGCGGGACATTCATCTTCCCCAGGCTCCCTACCTGGTTGATCTTTGTTGGGCTCATCACCCCTGGCACAAATTTGGTGCTAGAAGATATCCTACCCAAAAAAAAAAAAAGAAAGAAAGAAAAGATGTGAGCCAGTTAATAATGTGAATTGAGAAAAATCTCTGGTCTGAGAATAAGGAAGTCAATGGATAGAAAAAAAAGTGTTTTATCTGCAAATGGAAAAACAGTATTCAACTTTTCTATCGGATATGAAGCATTATGTCAAAATTAGGAAGCCATGACTGTCCATACAACTTATTTAACCATTTCAATTAATGGCCTAGCTGTTAAAAGCCACAGTATCATAAACTGTTAATGCTAGTTTGGATTTTTTTGTGGTTTATGCAGAATAGATTTAGTCTAATTAGCTTATAATTCACTGTAATATGAGCCTCCAGAAAATTGATTTACTCAAGTACTAGGCAGCCTTAAATAAGTAAAAATCTCCATAGTGACGAGAATAGTAATAATAATTTTCCAGCTTCCAGAGACCAGAAAAGAACATAAATGCACCTCCCAAGAGAAGCACTCTATAATTCTGAAAACTCCTTAGGTAAAACGCTATTTGTAGGCGATGACAACTGCTACCTCCTAAGAGAAATGGCCTGTAATGCATGATAAACACTGCACTTAAAATATTAGAAGGAAAAAGATGCAACTGTTAACACTCAAGACCTGCATCTTGTATGACTTCAAAACAAGTTCTATAAAGTATAAAAAGCTAGTTGAGACTTATCAGCCAGCATTCAGCTACGATTAAAGTAAGTTACAAACCAACATGACATACTTAGACCCAAAATTTACACTGCAATTTTGGACCACTTAGCAAATAACAAAGAAACATTCCTATCCGGTGCTGTTCTCTCTTTTTAAGGGACATAAGAAATAGTATCTCACCCTCAGCAACTTTTAAGATGTGTGAATTTCAATTCCCAGATACAATTTCCCTGTTGAGGAATTCTGAGAACATCTCAACGTTGCCAAGCTTGAGAACCATTCCACAGCCAAGTGTCACCTTCCATTTCTTCTTCCAAAGATGCTTTTTCATGAGGCAACTGGACTTTCTTGTTTTTCTTTGAAGACGTTTCGCATCTCATCCAAGCAGCTCCCTAAGTCTTCAAAGAAAAACATGAAAGTCCACTTGCCTCATGAAAAAGCATCTTTGGGGTAACTATGACCTGAATGATCTCTTCTTACATTTCCCTTCTCCTATGACCATGATCCTATAGGTCACAACCCAGGATTTACAGACAATGGATGGGCTTTACAGAAATTAAGCCCAGTCACCCAAACCAGGTTATGGCTTAGCTGGAACCCAGACTTTGTGCTTGAGGTGGGGGAAAAAATGAAACTTTGATTTTGGGTTTTACCAATTGGGTAGATTTGTTGTTATAGAAAAGGCTAGTTTATACTATTATGTTAAAGTAAAAAAGTTGAGGTTTGATTGATTACTGTTTTATTCCACTGCAGCAGAGGGAATTGGAAGTCAATAACTTTTTTCCCTCTTTTCTCTCTTTTCTACACTTCTCCTCCCCCACCCTTATCTTTCCTACTATTTCCTTTTGTATTTTATATTATAAATTAATTTTTAAAAAACCCTGTAAACCAGGAAGTAGAACGGAGGAGCTTTCCAGAGCCTGCTAAAAAGAGAGCTAACAAAGGCTCAAAACAAAAGATGTGAGCCGGTTAGAACAGAACAGGATATCTTTATTGTCCATTGTGTAACTCACAACGAAACTGGATATCTTTATTGTCATTGTGTAACTCACAACGAAACTGGATATCTTTATTGTCATTGTGTAACTCACAACGAAATTAAGTATTAATAATGTGAATTGAGCAGTCTCTGGTCTGAAAATAAGGGAGTCGATGGACAGGAAAAAAGGCGTTTTATCTGCAAACGGAAAAACAGTATTCAATTTTTCCAAAGTAAGAAGCCATGACTGTCCATACAACTTATTTAACTATTTCAATTAATGATCTAGCTGTTAAAAGCCACAGGGTTCTTCCTTATTTGAGGGCTGCCCCTTTCCTACCCACAGCCCCACGGCTAATTCCCCACGTTCTCCCCAACCCAACTATTCCTGACTCGCAAAACTGCCCCCAAGTCCCGCATATTAGCTCCCCATTTGACCTTACCCGGCTGCAACCGGCTTCGCACGTGGCATTCCCGGAAGCGGAAAAAAAAAAACTCCTCTTATCCGGACCGGTCCGGGGTGCCGGCCACGCCCCCTCCTACTTGATTGGCTGCTTGGACAAAGGAGGCGGAGTTTAGTGGCATACTAAATCGGGTCTCCGGTGGACTTTTTTTTTTTAAATAGACTCTTGCTCGCGCATGCTCACACGCGAATGGCTCGTTCGTTGACTCGGGGGCGAAGCGCGGTTGTGGTTTTAATCTTGCAACATTTTTTTTTTGCAGCTTTACTATAACGTGGCTCACCTCCCCCCGTTGCGAGGTTGTGGTTTTAATGTTGTAATTTGTTTTTACTTTTTTTTTTTCAGCTTTACTGCAACGTGGCTCACCCCCCCTTGCGAGGTTGTGATTTTAATCTTGCAACTTTTTTTTTGCAGCTTTACTGCGACGTGGCTCACCTCTCCCCCCGCCCATTGCAAGGTTGTGGTTTTAATCTTACAATTATTATTATTATTTTTTGCAGCTTTACTGCAACGTGGCTCACCCCTTGCGACGCTGGATAAGGACTGTTAAGACTGCAAAAAAAGAAAAGACAAGAAAATATAATAAGCATCACTTTGGTGGCACCGTGCAGTGAACTACACGAATTGTGACGTATTAAGGAAACTACAAGTAAATCGGGAAAAATAGCAGGCCTCTATTGGAGTCATGTGTCAGTGTCATCACTCACAATACGTAGACACATACATGCCATATGCAAATCCACCTTTTAATAGGATTACCAGATGCCTAGGAAAAAGGATGCATTTTTCCCTTTTATGTCCTCTGGAAAGCAGAGCCTTGAATATTGTCCAGCTTTTTGAGTGTCTTGGGGATTTTTTTTTTAATGGACTGTTTTCACAACAATAATCACTCAAACCTTCGTGTATTGTGGTCTTCTAAATTGCCTATTCCTTTTTTTTAATCGGCTGTCCGACTAGATTAAGATTAGTTTATTTTCTGATTCCAGCAATCAACTTCAATCATGGGCTTCAAGGCAGGATAAGAAGCAACAGATGGAAACTAATCAAAGAGAGAAGCAACCCAGAACTAAGGAGAAATTTCATAACAGTTAAAACAATCAGTGGAACAACCTGCCTCCAGAAGTTGTGAATGCGCCAACACGAAGTTTTTAAGAAGAAACTGGACAGCTATCTATCCGAAATGGTGTAGGGTTTCCTGCCTGAGCAGGGGATTGGACTAGAGGACTCCAAGGTCCCATCCAACTCTATTTTTATTATTATTATTATGGATCATCGCACAGTCAGCCAGATGTTCAGACTGGATTTGGCATTTTGTCTACTTATTGAGTCCTTACCCAGGACCTGGGATAGGCAGATGTGGATGTTTGATGGTATTACAGATATCGCAGGATGAAAGCAGTTCCTAGTAAGGCCGCCTTTTGCAATTGACTAATAGCGAATTTGTCAATGCCAGTGGTGTTCAAGTGGTGCTCCAGTTGTTTTGGGATTGCACCTAAGGAGCCTATCACTATTGGTACTACTCTTGCTTGCTTTTGTCACAGTCTTTCTATTTCTATTTGTAGGACTTTGTATTTTGTTATCTTCTCCAGTTCTTTCTCTTCTATTCTGCTGTCTCCAGGCACTGCCACATGCACTATCCAGACTTTTTTGTCTTTCTTATCGACAATTGTTAATAAGAAAGACAAAAAAGTCTGGATAGTGGACGTGGCAGTGCCTGGAGATAGCAGAATAGAAGAGAAAGAACTGGAGATTATTATTATTATTACTATTACTATCCTGGCTCCGTCTCAGATGGCTGTAATCTGTAGATTCCAACACTCATTGTAGGTTTCTATGGTGAAATTTGAAAAGTGTGCCATTGTGGATTCTCTATTATTGCTGACTTTTGTTCTTGAAATTAAAGATTCTTTGGAAAAATATTGGGAGTGAAAAAGCAGCCTTTCCGATGCTGGAAAAAAGTAATTTCATATAAATGTAGCTCTAACTACATTTCCTTGCAGCTTTTTGCTGTCATATTTGTGGTACATGCCAAGAAAGTTAAATAGTGTGTCCTTCCCCCCCCTTCCCCCAACCCCCCCCCCAGCATCTTGTTCTCATTTTTTAATCAATCATGTCCTCCTTTGCGTATTCAACTCTTGCACCTACCTACCTTTACAGCTCTTTGTGTTTTGCTGAGACAACTGCCTGTGTGGACATGGCACAAGGTGGTCTTTTGCTAGAGTGACTTTCATTAGCAGCTCTCCCCGTGTCACATGGAGTGGAAATTGGCTGCAGTTGCATGTATGAAGTCTTCCCAATTGTCTTCTCCACTCTTCATCTCTTTCCTGATGTCGGCTTGGTAGGTTTCCATCCACGCGTGGTGGCTCATGTAAAGCCTAGCCTACCTGCCAGCGTTTGAATGGCAAGCAACTGAGATGGGGTTTGTGAGTGCCACTGTCTGCTGAAGGAGGAAACACAAAAACACAGACAAGGAAACAAACAAAAGGAAAAGAAAGAGATTTCTGTCTGCCTTTCAAACAAAAGAGCCTTGATGAACTGATCCGATGGCCAACAGAGGAACTGTCTGCTTCATTGGCTAGTCTAAAGAAAAGAAGAAATAGGGGCGACGTGATAGCAGTGTTCCAGTATCTGAGGGGCTGCCACAAGGCAGAGGGGGCCAGGTTGTTCATGGAAGGACGAGAAACAAGAGTTGGAAACTGATCAAGGAGAGAAGCCACCTGGAATTAAAGGAAAACTTCCTGACAGTGAGGACAATCAACCAGTGGAACAGCTTCCCCCCAGAAATCATGGGTGCTCCATCACTGGAGATTTTTAAGAAGAGGCTGGACAGTCACCTGTCTGAGTTGGTGTAGGTTCTCCTGCTTAAGCAGGGGGCTGGACTAGAAGACCTCCAAGGTCCCTTCCAACTCTATTTCCATTCTATTCTATTTACTGTTGACTGGATCAACTTTCAATTGAGACTATAGGAGTCTGTTTGCTTTCTTCCTCGCCATTTTTCCCCCCATCAAGCTAAGCAGCCGTGTGCTTCAGATCCTGACTCAGAAAATCTTGGTTGATGTCACATCTCTTCCTATCTAGGAGAAGCAATAAGAAAGGGGACATTCAAATCCCCCTGGTTAATAACAAGGCGTCTTTTCCCTTTACCTGGCAAAACAATGGCAAGCTATCCTGTATACAGGTGATTCTCGACTCACGACCAAAATTGAGCCCAAAATTTCTGTTGCTAAGTGAGACAGTTGTTGAGTGAATTTTGCCACACTTTACTGCCCCATTTGTTAAGTGAACCACTGCAGTGTTTAGTAACACAGCTGTTAAATGAATCCGGCGTTGACCTCTGACTCCGTCTGTTGCAGTAATATAAGACATTAAGATCAAATCTCAACTTTTTACATTTCTGTAGTAGTATAAACTAGCCATTTTTGTATCAAAAAACCAGTCTAATTAGTAAAACGCAGAATCATAGTATCGGGTTTTTTTCCCACCTCGAGCAGAAAGTCCAGGAGCGGTTTCCAAGTAAGCCAGCTTTTTTCAGCCTTATATGTGGGTCCATCTGTTCCGAATACATGTGACATCATAAAACCGCAACTCCTTTGTAAATGTCGCATTCAACAACATTTTTTGTTTCTCTGTTTGCTGCGATTATACTACAAAGAGCGCCCAGAATGTTGTCATTCTTTATGCTGGCCGATTTCTATTCGTTCTCCTGGTTACGTCTCATTAATCTTGGAAGAGTCCCAGCATGGCAGCGTTTTTAAACTTGCATCTTTCCTTCTGCTCCTTCAACCCCCTGGAAGTCCAGGGCTGAAGAGAGAGATGGTAATTTGCACTCTCCTCTCGTGCAAATAAGATTTCTAACAAGGACAGGCTCCCGCTGACTTCATTGGTGATGGGCTGACAGGAAGACTGGCGGTTGCAAAGGGCTGTGAGGAGAACAGCCCCCCCCCCCGTGACCTGCTTCTGCTCTCTGTATTGGCAAGAGAGAAGCTACCTGATGCTCCGAACAAGGGAGCAGAGCTTCCGATAAAGTTTGTGACACTTTCAGGCATCAGGTTTAACTGGCATAGGGTAAGCGATGGAGGACCATGTCCGCATCCCGGTCCCAGAAAAAATTCTAGGGATCATTTTTAGTCTGAAACAGCCCCAAGAGTGTTAACCTTAAGTTAACATCCTGACCAGCCATGACACTTGAAAGGTTTAATGAACTCTTGATTCTTTCTATCTGAGACAAAATCCTTGAAAGGCCGTTTTAAAATGGACTCTTTCTAGGATCTCTCCCCCTCTCTCTCTTCCTTCCTCTTCCTCTCCCTCCCTCTCCCTCCATCTCTCTCTTCCTCTCCCTCTCCTCCATTTTTCTCTTCCTCTCCTCTCTCTCCCTCTTCCTCTCCCTCTCTCTCCCTCTCTCTCTCCTTTTTAAGTGTCACCTCAGCAGATGAAAATAAAAGGATGTAGAAGAGAGGGATGTGTGTAGTCATTTATGCATTTATTTATTTATTGCTCTGGTAGAAAAGAAGTCAAAATCTGAGGAAGGGACAGTGTACCTCTCATTTTCCTTTCAAGAAGATGGGAGGACATTAAAAGTGACACACAGTGATCCCCAATTGTGTGACGCTTGTGTGTGGTGATGCATGATTTGATCAGGGAAGAGGGCAACCTGATCAACCATGTCAGGAAAACACAGTTGCCTTACCTTGTGCCTTAATTAGACCCCATATGACATTCTTAGCCTCTTTTGAGTTAATCCACTTTCCGAGAGTCCAGGATATTGAACCGTACAGTGAAGTATCTAGGACACCAAAAGAAAATTAAACCAATATTAATAAAGTTATTGAGATGTATGAAATCATCTGCTATCTCTTTCCTGTGCTAGTTCGTTTGTTTATTTATTTATGAGACTTATATACTGCGTAAGCGTTGTATAAACTCAGTTAAGCATTGTATAAACTCAGCCTGTGTCTGTGTGTATATTTCCAATTCTATTCTTGCTCGAAAAACCTCTTTAGCAATAGCAGATTTATATACCGCTTCCTAATCCTTTAAAGTCCCTCTCTAACTGGTTTACAAAGCCAGCACGTTGCCCCCAACAATCTGGGTCATTTTACTGACCTCGGAAGGATGGAAGGCTGAGTCAACCTTGAGCCCCATTAGGATCGAACTCCAGACTGTGGGCAGAGTTTACCTGCAATACGGCATTCTAGCCATTGTGCCATCATGGCTAAGCGTACTTTAGCCATATCTCCTGACATATGCCTAAGCAACCTTTTAGATTCAGTCATGTTCACAGCTTGAGATGTTTCTAAATGCAAATGTCTAAATGTTGTCTGGTGCTCCAACTACACACCCTTTCTTAGAAAAGGCAACTTTGGCTTCAGTGAATGAGGAGCAACACTCGTTTCTCATATGGGCTACTGCAGTGCCAACTTTATGTGACAGCCCTTGAAGACTGCAAGTAGACACTGAAGTAGATTGTGTCATAATGTGTTTTGTAGACTTTATCATCTCAGTCTCACATCCCCTGTACAGACTTCCAATCTCTTTTTTCAGATCCAGTGCAAAATAGGGGCACAGGCATTCCTTCTGACCAATGGAGTCTTGGGTCCATCTTATGTTGAAGTTAGCTGGAAGATATTCCGATTTCTTCTGTAGCCAGCCGAGAGGAGGCATTTCAAACCTGCCCTCCTATTGCTTTCCTTTCAAACAGCCGCAAAAGCAACAGTGGAGGTGATTGGAAACAGCAGAATTCTTCAGCACCCTCAAATACTCCATCTATCTTCTCTGCGGGTGGACAAGGAGAATGAAGGGAACCACCAGAGTCGATCCTTTTTAAATTTCATCACTGAGGCAGGGACCAGACCCCATAAGGCAGACTGCGACTTGTTGTCATGAGATGAGCTACAGAAACAACAAAATCACTAGTCTTCCATAAGGAGTCTGGCAGAGATGTGCAACGGGTCTACAAGCATGAATTCACTCCCTGTGACAGCTATCTTCCCAAAGTTAGGCAGAGTATATAAATCACAAGAGTCAAGAAAAAGAGGGCAGGAGGAACATGTCTAAAGACTTCTTTAACCATTTTGTAAAAGTTTGGGTTTAACTGGGCACAACTGGAAGACTGTGAAAATTGCCTTCTTTCTTTCTTTCTTTCTTTCTTTCTTTCTTTCTTTCTTTCTTTCTTTCTTTCTTTCTTTCTTTCTTTCTTTCTTTCTTTATGAGACTTATATACCGCTTTAAGTGCAAGCACTCTCTAAGCAGTGTACACCAGTAAGCAATGTATATATATATTTACATTGCCCCCAACAATCTGGGTCCTCATTTTACCTACTCCGGAAGGATGGAAGGCTGAGTCAATCTTGAGCCGGTGAGATTTGAACCACTGACCTGCTGAACACAGTCAGCTAAAGTGGCCTGCAGTACTGCACTTTAGAGTAAATTGACTTTTCGATTCAACAGTAAAGAAAGGCAGACAGAGGAGTAACGAGTGATAGAAGAGAAGGAGAATCTGTCCGTCTTGAGCCTTTCAAAAATATTAATTTCCAATGACCATTTTAGGGAACCCAGGACTAGTTGAACTTTGTGGTTGCTTCCAACTCTACAATTCTGTGATTCTATTATGCAACTAATTTTGCTTGGCTTTACTGAATACCGTCATAATATCCTTCTTTATATTTTAAGACAAGGCATATTGCTTTTTCAAAAATACTGTGGCATAGTATTATACAGTAGATTTCCTGACTTTAGCCTCTATTGTTTAAAATCCTAGCTTTGCATTGAATGAGTGAATGGTGAATGGTGGTTAATAAATGATGCTTAAACTATCATGGATTAATATGTTGTATGCTTAAAAGATAGGGTCTCCCCAAGCACAAGCATGATTGATTGCAAGCCATGTTTTATCACTCAGAATCAGGGCTTTTTTTTGTCATAGAACGCCCAGAACAGAGTTCCGGCACCCTTTTTGGATGGAATCTTGTACGGTAGGCAAGGCGGGTTGTATGACGTGTGTGAGTTCCGGCACCTTTTTTTTTTTTTTTTTACAAAAAAAAGCACTGCTCAAAATCATGAATCCCACCCAGCCAACTATCATTTATTCAGTTAGCCATGGTTGAATCTGATATATTAATTCAGTTTCGCAAACAGTCTTGCCCTATTGCCTTAGGACAGTGGTTCTCAACCTGTGGGTTGGGACCCCATTTGGGGTCGAATGACCATTTCACGGGGGTGGCCAAACAACGCAGTCCGCCATTTTTTCCCCCTTTTCCTTAGCTGTGCTCCTCCCTTTTATTCTATTGGCTTTTGAAAGCCAATAGAACAGACTCTCTTGAATAGAGTCTAATTCTATTGGCTTTCAAAAGCCAATAGGAATTGTCCAGGCTGTCTCTGCCCTGCTGAGCCCGCCAAAAGTCCCATTCTGCAAATGGTGCTGCACCAGTTGAGTAGTCCTCGACTTACAACCGGTTGAGTAGTCCTCGACTTACGACCGGGTGGGGGTCACGGCATTAAAAAGGTTGAGAACCACTGCCTTAGGAAATGTTGGGCTTGTTTTCAGAAGTTTCTACATTTCCAAACATCAAGCGCAAACTTTTGAAATTCTTCCAGTATTTCAAATACACAGGTAGTCCTTGACTTACAACAGTTCATTTAGTGACTGTGATTTATGACTATTTTTCACAGTTATAACCTTTGTAGCAGCCCCACGATCATGTGATCAAAACTCAGATGCTCGGCAATTGACTCATACTTACGACAATTGCAGCGTCCCGGGGTCATGTGATCCTCTTTTGCGACCTTCTGACAAGCAAAGTCAATGGGGGAAACCAGATTCACTTAACAACCATGTTACTAACTTATCAACTGCAGTGATCCACTTAACAAATGTGGCAAGACAGGTCATAAAATGGGGCAAAACTCACTTAACGCTTAACAAAAGAAATTTTGGGTCAATTGTGGTTGTAAGTTGAGAATGACCTGTATTGACTTTGGTCCCAAATTTTGCTGCCTAAAGAGTTCTGTTATGAACTCTCCAAATGGAAATGGATTTTTCCGGTTGCCTTTTCTTACAAACTCAGCACTTCTAGCCTTTCTTTTCATCTGGTTTTGAATGTTTTTTTTCCCCACCCTTCCACATGTTATCCTACATTCTTTCCCGTCTTTAGAAAACAAAGCTAGTGGCATGTCATTATGGCTTTTCAGTCACTAAAGGGCATTTTATTCTCTGAAGAAACAAGAAAGGTAGTAATTGTCCTAAGAGCAATATCTCACTCTCTTCCCCTTTCCAATCTTTTCACAGCTGTATAAAATCTATGTCCTAAATCTTTCTTTTTTAAAGAAAAAAATCTGAAACATTTTCAGGCCCCTTGGTGTCAGCTAATTAATGCTCTCTTAATGACTAAATGGTTTAAACATTGCACAATAACTTCCCAGGGGGGCATCAAAGGTCATTCTGATTCATAGCAAAACTCTTTTTTATTATGCATGGCAAAGCCACAAGGTATGGGACGGGGTAATTATCCTTGTGTTGTTCTTTTGGGAAAATAAGGAATAGGATTGGGCTGTCAAGCTGCTGTTAAAAGGAGCAACATTTGGGTCATGAAGCAAAACAGGGTCTCTTTAAAATGCAAAAAACAGAAGCAATGGAGGCATAATCAGTGTGTAGAAATGGATCGTGACAGTCAAAACAAGTACAAACTAGTGGATTTAGCAAGAATGGCATTTGGTTGGGATTTGTTTACTGATAATTCCAGTCTTTCTCGCTGAAAAAAAAAACATGCTTTACTGGCGAGTAGAATCTGTGAATTTAGCTACTTGCAAGACAAAAATGGATTCACATGTATTAAGCTTAACCCCGATTTGCTGAATGTCACAGTTGGGCCATATGTTGCACAGAATCATAAGCCATAATTTATAAAGCATGTTTAGGTTTATATGTATTCAAGTTTAAGCTGTCTTGCTAAGCCAAAATGAATCACACTGGCATTTAACATTTTGCGTATTCTCAGAATGGTTATTTATCAGCCTTGATTTATAATTTAGTATTATGACTGAGATAGTCTGTTATAGCTAGTTCAACAAACCATGATGAAAAAATATATGGAATTTATGAGTTATCCAATAAACCAAATTTAAAATAAATGATGGCATGGGATAATTTGTGAGCTAATATAATTTGTGAGCTAATATAATTTTCCCTTTACAGTGTTGATTGTTGCGGCTTTAATTTTAGAGTGAAGAGAATAACACAATGGCATTTTTAAATGATAGGCAATGTTGTGGTTACATCAGTTATCCCATTGCACTAAGCCGTAATTCTGCCTTACTATGTTGTGTGAATCCAGTAATTTCAGTTTGTAAAGTATGGTTTAAGTGTATCATACGAACATGACATTTTGTGGCTTTTTTTTTTTTGACATATGATTTCATTACACATGGTGTAAGATATAAAGCCTATAAGAGTATAAAACCTATAAGTTAGTGGCTATTATTTCAAAAGTAATGGTAATTTCTTAAAGCTGTTTTAATACACTACAACGTATTTTGGATGTCCCCCTCATGGCAGTGGCATTCACTTTAATTACAGATACAACTGTAATATTCTCAGTGACATTTCTATATCAAACCACATTTATTTTTGAAAAAAATATTGAAGCAGTATAACAAATGTCTTCATAAATCCTGTCCAAGTAAGGTGTTTTATTCACAAGACAACTGAAAAGCAATCTTCAAAAAGAACATTTTTTAAAATGTACACTGAATTCCAAAATGCTGCATCCAGATAGGGACGAGAGAAAC